CCTTTGTGGGGTGCCGCAGGGTTCGGTTTTCTCTCTGCTCCTCTTCAACATCTACATTAAACCGCTGGGTGAGATCATCCGTCATCATGGGATGAGGTATCATCAGTATGCTGATGATACTCAACTATATATCTCCATCCCTGGTGAAGTAAGTGATGCCGTGACCACCCTCTCATGGTGCCTGGAGGCTGTGAGGGTCTGGATGGGGAACAACAGGCTCCAGCTGAACCCTGGCAAGACAGAGTGGCTGTGGGTTAATGGCTCCTCTGTATCTGGGACATTGTCATCGTTTCTCTTTTTTATCTCTGTAAGTGTGGTTCTTTTATAACTTTTAATCATGTATTTATGATTTTAATTTGATGTAAGTCTCTCTTTTTTATCTCTGTAAGTGTGGTTCTTTTATAACTTTTAATCATGTATTTATGATTTTAATTTGATGTAAGTCTCTCTTTTTTATCTCTGTAAGTGTGGTTCTTTTATAACTTTTAATCATGTATTTATGATTTTAATTTGATGTAAGTCTCTCTTTTTTATCTCTGTAAGTGTGGTTCTTTTATAACTTTTAATCATGTATTTATGATTTTAATTTGATGTAAGTCTCTCTTTTTTATCTCTGTAAGTGTGGTTCTTTTATAACTTTTAATCATGTATTTATGATTTTAATTTGATGTAAGTCTCTCTTTTTTATCTCTGTAAGTGTGGTTCTTTTATAACTTTTAATCATGTATTTATGATTTTAATTTGATGTAAGTCTCTCTTTTTTATCTCTGTAAGTGTGGTTCTTTTATAACTTTTAATCATGTATTTATGATTTTAATTTGATGTAAGTCATCCAGAGTCCCCCATTGTGGTGAGATGGGTGGGGACAAGTCTATTAAATAAATAAATAAATAAATAAACTTGAAGTGAGATTGTAAGCACAGCCACAGTTTCATCTAGCGGCTGCTTTGCTTAACAACTGAGTTGCTGGTCCCAATTGTGGTTGCTAAATGAGGACTACCTGTATATCATTGTACACATTTTGTATAAATTTAACTACATCATGAAATCCAGAGTAAGATTAAACATCATATATTACAATTTTAATATTATTCTATCAAGTACAGTAGTATGAATTAGGATTCAGGATAAAATCTGTGGGCGTTGATTTTCTATCTACTGCAATTTTTATTTGGGTCCAAGAACCCAGATCTCAATGACTGGACAGGAATTATGAAGGTGCAGCTATTGGAGAATGTCCACATCTTCCTTATTATGATTCAGCAATAGTCTGATAGTGCTGGAGCACTTCATTTCGTGGTTCTTTCTTGTGGACCTATCTTGTTATTCCTGACTGTTTAATGAAAGATAAATCCTGCTGGATTGGCGCAAGGACCACCAATCTAGCACATGGTTTTCAAGAGCAACTAATGAGAAGATCTGAATATTCAGAAGAAGGACAATAATTCACCTTCTTTGCTGCTTCCCAATATTTTCCAAGATCTTCTATGTAGTTATGATAATTGGTAGACTTCTCCTTTCTTAGAGAACTTCCTTCCTAAGGCAACTTTATATCTTGGTCCACACAGTGCCTTGTGGATATGAGTAACATAAACTGTATATTATGTGAAGTAGTACTTTATTTTGTCTGGAATATTAATTTCATAAAAGTTACTCCACCAGTATGTTTATATTATTAACTAGTATAGTGATCAGTTCACTGGGTGTTTCTATAATAATAAAACTTGAATTCCACCCTAAATCACGGCTGTTTTTCATTTGGCTTTCACAAGAAATATTCAAGGATGCGAAAAAAAATTAAAAGTATTGTCACCATTATGTGTTCTATGCTCTTACAATGGATGTATAATCTTGCCATGTACTTGTCATACTATTTGCTGCTGTGTTTCATTTTTATATGGGGTGGCTTCATATGGTTAATTTTTATTTTGATGGAATGATAGTTATGATTTTAGTATAAACATAGTAAATGTCTTTGAATTGGGTGCTGAAGTAGCATTTAAATAAGTTAATTAAGAAATAGTCTTGGTGTCAGTGTCAGCTAGTAGATACAGTTTTAATCCATGGGCATTACTTATGAGTACCAACTACCACTTTCTTCCATTTCTCTTGCCAGCAAATCATCATATTCAAATATTTACTGGCAACAAAATTGTGGACTAGAGTAAAGCCAGCAATTAAAATCCATCCATCTTGTTCTAACTAGTCACAGAACGTTGAATAAAGAAGAAATGCTGTAGAATGAAGATTCCCTGAGTCACCTTTTGTACATAGCCACATCTTATTCCATGGGGTCTAAACCCTATATTGGGATTTGAACTCATGGACCATTACACTTTAGATGATCATATACATTGAATTAGCTTTAGGAGCTATCCAGGGCCTGGTGCTTAGGTGTCTACCAGAAAGGCATATCTAGAATCTATCAGAATGGTATATATGGTCTACTTTCATGTAAGCTCTCAGTTATTTATGTTGCATTATGTTATTCACCTACTTAGAACAACAACTTGCAAATGAATACTGGATTGTATCCAATCATACATTTGTCTTTGCAGAAAGGGCCAGGTGGTGAATTAATTGTTCCCCTCCAGACTATTTAGTGCATCATGTCATGCAATCTCAGAATTTTTGAGATTTAAATGGATTGGAAGGACTAGCAAATTTTTTTCGAGCAACATTCAAAAATAAGGTATAGCAATGAGACCATTAGTTACAATTTTCAGTTCTGTGTTTCCTGAAGATCTTTCAATAAACAGACAGACAGACAGACAGACAAATCCTCTTTTCTTCCTGTAACAACTCCTACACGTTGTTCCCTCAACTTCTACGAAAGTCTTTTGGGGAAGAAAGAATAAGACAAACGTAGATGGAGTAGATAGGTTAGGAGTCTTACGATACAGAGAGACAGATTCTAATTGAATGTTATCAAAAACTTCCTAACAGGGCAGTTATCTAAGTGTTTCATGAGACATATCCAGGCTGAGGTTGGATGGTCCTCTGTTGGAGATGCTTTGAGTTCCAGCACAGAGGAGCACATCAGACCTGGTAGCTTAAATAGCCTCTTCCAGTGCTAGGTTTGTAGCTGGAGAAAGGTTTTAAAAGCTCTGATCCCACCACCACTTGTCCCTGGGGATGTCACCAACCTACTTGCCCTGCTATTTACTCTGAGAAACCTTGCTTGCTGAAGGAATGTAAAAATCAATTCTTCCCTGACATTGGTGGTGCTAAAACAATGGACACAATAGTAACAGTAACAATAAGACATTTTAATTTATTTCAGTAAAAGCTGCTAACAGTAATTCCACATAGTATAATCACTGTCCTACATGTTGGATGAAGGAGATGTTTAAAGCAGAATAACGACAAAGAATCATTTTATGCTATCAGATTTTCCAAGCATTTTTCATCATCACGATGAAATAGACATCAGTGTCTATTGAAGCGCTGACACCAGCATAATAGTTCATGAATTCATCTGTTGTGACCTACAGCAGAAAAGTTTGGAAAAGAGAAATAATGCATGTATTTAAATAAAAGTATAAACTATTATGTGCAAGAAATCTGGGGGGAATTAAATTCTAGTGGAATATATACATAATGTTCTATAGGGACATTTGCATTCACAAATATATGAATGAAAGTGTTCCTATAGAGCATTATGGAGCCACTTTCTCCCCCTCCTGGGCATCTCATGTAGACGGTGCAGCCATTACTTTGATCTTAAAACCTGCCTCGGTTTGCCATTGTACAGCCCAATTGCGTTGCTCTAATGAGAAGCATGAGGAACAGCCCCACTGAAAGATACTGGTGAAACATGTTTTACTGGGATGCAAGATCCAAAGAGAGCTGCCACATTAGATCAATATAAGAGCCCTCTCATATTTTTCCTATTAAAACCACAAAGAGTTTGCATTCTATTTCGCAGATCCAGAACAAAATTAAGCATGATTAGTGATATAGGAACGTGATATGCATAATTTCAGTGAATTTCTTTTGAAATGTAAGATATATTCCATTTTCCTACAGGAGGATTAATTTGCATTCCAGGGCTTTGGGGGATGGAGAGAGACAGAAGTATGAGTATCAGTATAAAGTCCACGGTGCTTCCCTTCCATGCCCAATGGCTGCCCAGTAGGGGGACAAAGAAAAGAGATCTCTATTGATCATTTCAGCAAGTCCACCTAAAAGAACAACAGAGTTTCTGGCATGTCTGGCGTGACTGGCTTAGTTTTTGTTTGCTTTTAATCTCCTCCTCACTTACCTGTCCATCCTTATCATAGGGTGAATCAAAGTTCTCCAGGAAAGTCCTAAAAACTTGGTCTTCAGTCCATTCTCCATTTTGGTACTTGGGATGATGTTTTACATTGTAGACTCCTCGCAAATCTTCAATGGTGATGACACCATCCCCTGTCTTATCTAGCTTTCGAAAAGCTTGCATGATGACTTCTTTCCTTGCGTTAGACATAGGAGGCTAAGAAAAAGCACAAAGCAATGTCATTATAAGGTCACCTTCCTTCCAGCTGATCCTATTACTCTACGTTTCTTAATATCAAAAGTGGGCTTGATGAGCTATGTTTCCTCTAACATTTTCAGAGCATTAAAGAAAAGGATGTGAACATGGATTCTCAAAAAAGAACATGCAGGAGTATAGCAGATGCACTGTGGAAAAAAACAATGGAACTGAATTAAAGCAGAGGAACCCATGTGCGGATCATTATTCATCTCTGGGCTAATTTCATACCTTCCCATATGGTGCTTTTGGCCACCTGGATGCCTCCAGATGTTCACTATGGTATACACCATATTATTTGTGAGCCAAAGTAGAAGAATTAAACCAGGTGGAGCTGTGCACAGGTCACCGCTCCTCTATGAACTGGTGTTGAATTGCTTAATCTGGTGCCTTTGGCTACCAAAACTTCTCCAGAAGCTTGCTACTTGTATTTGAAAAGAGCAACTGTCTCCTGGCTTATACTCCACCACTATCTGCTGGCTGTTCCTTGCTGGAATTTAGCTACTCATCTCATTTCCCTTCTAACTGAGAACAGTGATTCTGAGTTGGAGGTGAGGAAGAAGCACTGCCGGTGCTGGAATGGGATTTGTGTGCCATGCACTGTAGGACTGAAGGCTGGAAGTAGATGGAAAGCAGAATGGATAGGATGTAGGGAGATATAAAAAGAGCATGTGGGGGAGAGCAGAGGGGCTATCACAGGTTTTTATTTGTTTGTTTGTTTAAATTGATTTATATGGCTGCCCATCTCCCAAATGCAACTCTCGGCAGCTGGCTGGGATTTGAACAATATAAGTACAATATATAAACAATAATATATAATGTTTTAATACAAAAATACATTTCCAACCAACCAAAACACAAAGTAACTCATGAAAGCCCCATATAATAGCAGCGTAATAAAGTATTAATTTACAAAACACGAAATGTGGCATGCATTTTCCTAATGTGCTTTGAGTTTCCTTGACCCCAAGATGAAGATGCAATATGAACCACGACATAAAAGAAGGGAAAGTTTAATCCTCTCCTCTTCAGATACAATTGCAGCCTCTGAAACACACATACCATGTGGCAGACACAAATTCTTACAAAAATCTCCCCTTTATTTACCAAGTGCCTCCATCTGCTGTGGCCTCATTAAGGAGTTGAAAGCCACACAGTTGTACTGTTTGACACTAAGGGCTCTAAGAGTCTTGTCTGTAATTTTCATATAATCAGGTACCTGATAGATACCAGGTATCTATGTTTCCCTACACAATTCCAACCCATTTGGCAGACATATCAACCAGTTAATTTGAAGCTTATTTAACTGCTACTTCCTAACCATACTCTTTTGTTTTAAATAAATTGATTTCTTTGAACATGCTGTACACACTACAGCACTATCACTGGGGTTCAAATGTTCCAGTTAGCTCATATTAGGGATTTCCCCAAGTTATTTCCCCATACCCATGAACAAGCTTGTCCAGTGAAGGCACTGATTTCATCAGCCTTATCAGGTAGACCAGACAGGAAACATGACCAGATAAGCTAATTCTCCTTCATTGTAAGGCTACATTAATGGAATCTTGCAAGTCTGAAAGTACACATTTCCCACTGTCTCCTTTACCACCCAAAAAACTAGAGGGGGTCCCTTCTGAGCTGTTGCCCCATCCACTATCCAGCTGTGGGCTGTGCTGTCTCTTATCTTACTGTTCCCTAGACAGGGTCTCCCAAGGTACATACCCACATACCATTACAGATTTGGACATGGATCCAGCATGTTATATTTCACAAAACACAATAATGTGGGAAACTATTTTTGTTGTTGTTTAAAACTTACTCTTAATGTGAGGAGAAATTCATCAAAGTCAATTATTCCATTTCCATCTTTGTCAAAGATTTTGAAAATTTTTTCAGCTTCTTCTTTGTCGATCAGCACAGCATAATCATGGAGTCCTTTCAAGAACTCTTTGAAATCAAGGGTCCTGCTATTATCGTCATCCATGATGTGGAAAACCCTGAAGAAAAGAAGGGTGACTGTAAAGAAAAGAGTTACAAAGATCAAAGAGTAAGAGAAATAGGACAATGACGTACAAAATCTAGGAAAGACACATTTAAGGAAAAAACAGCAAGAGCCTTGTTTCTGAGAAATATAAAGACTTCTCATCTGACCTCATTTCCAAATTTCACGATGGAAGCTTGCAGCTTCAGGTGCTGAATATTGTTCAGTTTGAATGTTTATCTCACTTCTACATCAAATTAGAGTAACTCTTACATAAGCAACCCTCATCTTCACCTGATTGGTATTTCCACTCTTAACTGAAAAGTAGATGTGTGTAGATACAATAAACTTGGGTAGACTTGCACATCCTTGAATTGGGACCAAAACAGCAATTGGACAGTTACATACACACGTATAAACAAATTGACTAGGAACCAATAAACTGAAAAATCAGTTAAAATAAGATTGATGTAGCACGGACAAATCATGCATTTGGATTAGGAACCAGTATCCACCTAGATGTGGATATAATGGCTTTGCTCTCGAAAGGTCAGGTTGGCAATCCTGGATATGAGTGTATATATTAATGTCACCCTTACTTCTAATTCCCACACATTCTACTATAGCTGATGAGCTAATTGCAATCTTCCTGGACAGAGACTGCTTGGGCAAATTACCTTTGAACTGGTAACATCTGATTTAGCTGACTGCTATGTGGTCTATAAGAACATAAGCAGTACTCTGCTGGATTGGACCCACAGCCCATCTAGTCCAGTAGTCTGTTCTCACAGTGGCTGAGCAACTGCCCAAGGAAGCCCACTAGTCTCCCAGCAGATGGCCTTCAGAGGCAGTCACATTGCCCTCAAGGCTAATAGCCATAGATCCCATGACTTCCATGAATTGGTCCAGTCCTTTTTTCAAGCCAGCTAAGGAGGTAGTCAGCACCACATCTCAGGGTAAAATGTGTGTCTGCCTTTACAAAATAGTTCAACCACTGCAGTTGATGCAAAATACAACAATTGCTAAATGAGATGGTTCATATGGAACACATTATGCCAATTTTGAAGTAGTTATATTAACCAAAGGTCTATTTCCAAGCATAATTCAAAATGCTGCTTTTAATGTGTAACAGTAAAAATGCCTTGGGCTGGAGTATCTCAAGGATCATTTTCTCAAGGATCATTTCCTACAGAATGGTAGGAATGGTATCCATCCATTGAGATTGGCTTTAGATCCTGTTCGCGTTCCTTGAGAGATGATATAAATTAGGAGATGAGTAAATTCCAGGCATTTCAATTTTAATACCTTTTAATGAAATTTTCCCCATCAAGACATTTGCTTGTGTAGTCTCGATTCTTTTGCCACACAAGGAGCAACTTTTCCTTTGTTAGGCTATTTTAGGATATCTTCCCTTTCATTCACTGGATTTCAACTGTCTGTTGTGTTTTAACTGCTCATGTTGAATGTGATGTGTTTATTTATCTCTTCCTATTCTAGAAGGCAAGACTTTAGAATGATCTTAAAAAGTTAAATATAGTTCAATAGACAATAAGCATAACAATTATTCTCAGAATGCACTGCTTTATTTGACAGTTGGAATCCCTGCAATCTAAAATTATGACTGAGGCCTATGCCAATTATGTCATCCTGATCTTTTTCAGAGTTTCCAGATGAGAACTTATTGTGCAATTACCCTTCCTTGACCATGTAATTTTTTCCAAGGGGTGCAGATGTCAGCTTTCCTCTGTCCCCTTCCTGTATTCCTCCTCTGCTCATTCTCCATTACTACTTATCTTAGATTAGGAGTCTCCAACATTGTTGTGGTCACTGGGAACATTTGCGATTTTGAGAATTTGTTATGGGCACTCTCACAAAATGGCTGCCAGAGCAGACATGGCCAATCACAAAACACTCACTTCCTACAAGGTAGCCCAGTGCGATGGTCCTCCTCTCCACTTTCCAGAATGTGGAACTTCACCTTTACCTTTTTTTTTAAAGTTACTTCTTCCTGCAGCCCCTGTAGCCTGTAGCCTCTACCATTTATAGCCTAAGGATGCATCTGGACGTACAACAGGCCCCTGGAATTGCTGCAGAATAAATTATACATGCAACTGATGCTTCTCTTTGCACCATGTTAGAATCTAATTTTTTAGGGCAGAGAGCTGGCAGTATTAATGGAGCTGTCAACAGCATCTAAGCCAATTGTAATCTGAGAAGGAGAAAAAGATGGACATAGTTGCCTAATGTAAGGTTGCCATATCTAGGCTGCAAATATTTGTACAACCACTAGATGGCAGCAAGGGCAATTTGTTTCCGGATCTCTCTGGTGTCATCTTGTGGTCATCTGGAATTTTCCACCCAGATATAACAACATGAATAGTAGCACTAGAATCCTTTCTTCCTTCCTTCTCGTTCAGGCCTTCTTACCTTTTTCTTAATCGTGTTTCTTGAATGCGTTAAAACATGTGCCGTGCAAAGAAGACTTACAGTCTGAAAGGAGCGCAGCTAAACAGCAGATCCTCACCCAACATCAGACTGAATGGCTGGTTCATGGTCTTAACCCCTCCGGGCCAGTTGAAATAGAGTTGAAAGAGGCTGAACTAGCTAGTTCAGTTTTAAAGGGATGCAGGCTTCACCTCCATGAATGTCTGGCCACAGCTTGCTTTCATCATTTATCTCATGGATCCATTACCTGCCCAGGCCTTTGATGCCTGCTGAACCTCTTGCCAGGCACTGAAGGCGTAGCTTCTCGATTGGATCAGTGGTATTGGAAAGCCTTTTCTTGGCCTGGATTGCCATTTCCCTGTCATGTCGTGCTGTGCCCGGCATCTAGAAGAAATGAGGTCAGTCGTCTTACAAAAAGATAAAAGGCGAGCCATCTCTATCTTGATGGAGCTGTGCTGAACAAGAGATCTCAATCTTTTGAAAAGTCCAAAGAGAGAGATTTAGGACATCTACTCTGAAATCTTTAAAATGGTCTTACATGCCTTTCCTGTCTTCCAAGCATCTCCAGGAACTGCACTTATGGACACAAGCATTCCTAGGCTGCAGATTCAGGTATTGTTGAAGGCACCTGAGCAAACTAGGGCAAAAGTGCTGGTCATCCTATCTGTAGAAAAGAGGCTACTTTGCCACCTAAATGAAGAGCTTTTTCTAGAATATCAATATGTAGATATGAGTGGGAAGATCTTGGCAAGGGGAATTTAAGATGACATTTTTCAATGTTTAAAACCCTTTTGATGAGTAAGACAGTTGACGCATATTTATGTTAAGCTAACTCATGCATATTTGCCATTCATGGGTCAGACAACAGAGGAGTCAAACAAATTTCAACCACTGCTTGAAAATGTAAACATTATGTAAAATGCTGATGTGTGTAATTGGCTAAATAAAGTTGAGGGAAAACAAGCACAGGCAGCAGCTAAAATTTCCTTCTCAGCCATTTTATGGGCTCCACACCAGTCTCTGATTCACAGGCCAGATGGCAAAGCCAAGTCTTCAGGCCCTTCCAGAAGGCCATCAAGGTTGGGGCCAGCATGACCTTGGGGGGGATGATATTCCATAGGGTAGGTGCAGCAGCAGAAAAGGAGTGTTTGCATCTGGTTACCGCAGAGAAGGTAAGTAGCTTTGTATTGAGTATTGGTTCCTCATCTACAAATCGATCAACTGATTACGTGCTGTCAATCTGGGGTTGACTCTTAGCAACCACACAGTGATGTAATAATAGGAGGTGGTGAAAACACACACACGCACACACACACACAAATATGATATTAGCAACTAGATCCTAAGGATGTTTCCTTGGAAGTAATCTCTTCTGTTTCACTGCAGCTCATTTTCAGCTCACTTTGCAAAGAGTTGCACTCCCAATGGTTCCAGATGTATTTACATTGCAGATCTGATTTATTTATTTATGTATTTATTCAATTAATACAGCTGCCCATCTCACATTTGTGACTCTGGGTAGCTTACAATTAAGCCATAAACAATGCCAAAAAGTAAAAAAATAAAACAACCTTACAAGCAATACAAAATGTTAAAACAATTTAAAAGCATACAATGTAGTCACTGGGGGAGCACAGTCATTCAAGGGCAGTACAGCCATTTTATGGGCTCCACACCAATCTCTGATCCCCAGGCCAGATGGCAAAGCGAAGTCTTCAGGCCCTTCCAGAAGGCCATCAAGGTTGGGGCCAGCACGACCTTGGGGGGGGATGATATTCCATAGGGTGGGTGCAGCAGCAGAAAAGGCCCTCCTGGGTCCCATCAAGTGACACTGTCTAGTGGACGGAACCCGCAACAAGCCTCTTCTGCTGGACCTGATGGGATGGTAGATGTCACTGGGGAGAGGTGGTCCTTCAAATAACCTGGTCCCATGCCATGTAAGGTTTTATCACCAGCACCTTGAATTGAACCTGGAAGCAAATTGGTAACCAGTGCAGCTTGCGGAGTAGAGGTATAATGTACGTAGATCTAGGTGTGCACATAACTGCCTGTGGCGCTGCATTTTGTATCAGCTAAAGTTTCCAGATGCTCTTCAAGAGCAGCCCCATGTAGAGTGCATTACAGTAATACAACTGGGAGGTGACCAGGCCATGAGTGACTGAGGGTAGAACCTCCTGATCCAGGTATGGGGGCAACTGGTGCACCACTTGAAGCTGTGTAAAGGGCCTTCTAGCCACAACTGCTACCCGGTCTTCCAGCAGGAGTTACGAGTCCAGAAGGACCCCCAGATTGCACACTGGGTCTGTCTGGGGAAGTGCAACCCCTTCCAGAACCAAAATGGTAAATTCCCAGATCCAGGTGGCCCCTGGATTTGCTGCTTTTGGGGGGGTCATCTGGAGTGCAGCCTTCTGTCCCCCCCTCAAAATCCCCTCTACCAAATAACCCAAAATGAAATAACAAGTGTGAGCCAACACTTTGCTGAAGTAAAACAAGAAGTACATTCTAGCAGTTATGCTTATTACAATTCATGGAGTGTGTGTGTGTGTAAAACCACAGCAGCAATGAAATGTGGAGCAATTATTCAAAATGCCTTTAGTAAAGGCTTTGATACTATCTAATGGCATCAGTCTGAAAGGTTACTATGTAAAACTGGAATTTCAACTCTTGAGAGGAAACACAAGTGCCAGCTTAGAATATAAGCACATGTATGGAGCATGTCCAATGCTCACGGATTTTTCAGATCTACCCTCTCTCCCTGAGATGAAAAAAAATGTTAACGCCTTTGATAGTCCCAGCCTCCTCCTTGGGGCTATTCTATCCTGCTTTGGGGAGAACAAAACATGGCATATAAGGAGCATGTTGGGAAGGCGATGGTTTTGCAGGAAATTTCTCTAACATATCCTCCAAATAAGTCATTCTCTAAATCCCTAGAGATGGATTTATTTCTTTTCTGGGAGCAAGGGAAAAGGAAGTTTTAAAAAATGGTCACGAAGGGCTTAGTAAGTCTCTTATTAAGGAACACATATTTCAATTAACATTCAGAAACTGTGTGAGGTCTTTACTTCTAGGAATGCCAATAGAAGAGAGAGATAAGGAAGTCATAGCAAAAGGTATGGAGGACGCCAGTCCTGGGTCTCCAGAAAGAAAACAAGTCTTCTTCCAAATTTCCCTCTCTCCCCTTGCAATTCTAGCATCAATTGCCTATGTAGTTGTCATTTCTATCAAGTCTTTCAGCATCCAATGTGGGAAGAATTACCCCTATAAAATTATATGCAACTAGCTATATGAATTGGTTCCATAGGAGACACTTCAATCTGAAGTGTATCATAGAGCTTTCTCTACAAACAATCTTGAATCAATATACTGTATGCAATTGATTACTCTCCTAGCTGGTGACCATTTTCCAGAGCAAAATCCTCAACACCAGCTTTCCCCAACGTGGCACTCCCCACCTCTAATATTTTGGGACTGCAACATCCAAATTTTCCAGCTAGATTAGCAATTGTCCAAGAGGAAGTATTCCCTCTGGCCAGATTAGGTATAGGTTAGTAGTCTTACTGCCGTGTGTAGACTGATGCTACTGTCAGAACCTCACAATTAACTGCGTTAATTGTACTTGCTAGCTCGCTCGGTTCTGCCATAATTGTATGGGGGGGGGGGGCGTGTAATGCCAGTTAGGTGCATAACAGTTAGTACAGATGGCTTCACCTTATCTAGTCTTCAGGAATGCAAAGGTCGTACTGGCGTGAGAGCAGAGAAAGGTGTCAGAAAGTATGAGGGGAAAAGGGGAGCAAGCAGAAGGGTTAAGAAAGCATTGCTTTGCACGGGCTTTTCAGTTTCAGCAATTCCTTGCTAAGGACTGTATGTTAATCATCAATAAACTGACTTTCTTTTGGACCTGCTGAGTCTCTGGAGAATGTTTCTGTTTTATTGGGTTAAGGACTGCAGTGCCTGACAGCTGCAGGCTGTGAATGGCTACAGAATGTTGTAAATTAATAACCCAGAATTTTTCAAAAGTTGAGTGAGAGGCTTGATGATGTGTCACTGTTTAGCTACTGTACCCTAGTTAAGCTCTCTGGAGATGTTATATAGAACCTGACCATCTCTGGAGGAGTTTCAAGCTGACAGTCTAAAATCAAGCATTCCCTATGAAGTACAGAAATCCATTCCTGATTTTCTTTTTTGTTTAGTGTCAATAGTTGGAAATTCCCAACATTGCACTAAATAAATTTTTCCATTAAAAATAACTTTTTTTATTTTTATAGAACACTAACATCCATGGATCTATGATCCATATGAAGTCAAGATCTTTGCTCGGTCAGCTGCAATTTATAAAGTTATTGCTGAATTGTATCTCACTGTTTAACAGCATATCTCTTGCTCTTAAAACTACCTTCATAACACCAAACTAGTGCGGTATCTGGATAAGATCCAAATAAAATCAGATTTAACCTCCCCTATCTTGAACAACGAAGCTGGATTGATCCACTTAGGCTGTTAGTGGCAGAAAGCAAGAATTTTTTTGATGAGAACCAGTTGGAAGCAGCAATCAGTTTGGCAGCTAACTTTTTCATGAAATGATTTCTCCTTTTGCTGGAGATTGTCCTGGCATAGAAAAATTCTCACAGTCAAAATCCCTTTCAAACACCTTTCTGTATGATGTTCAAAACCAGTGAGCTCTGTGTCCTGAATAGCAACCACCCTCCAGACAGGTACTATATTACCTAAACCTATGGACAATCCCAACGTAGATCTGAGCACTTGGTTTCTCCCTTAAAGCACAAAGGGAGCTCAAATGAGCAAAGTCAGTGAAGGAATATTTTTTTTTTAATACAGTATTTAATGCTCTTCTGCCTTTAAAAAGACATCATGATCTTTCTTATTTTATACCACTATGATGAGCTACCCTTTTCGCTTTCTGCACATTATAAAACAGTATCTGTCCTGTATTTTAATTTGTTGTTCACCATCTTGGCCGAAAAGCACTTTAATCCTAACTTGACAATAATCATCACAAACGGATCTGCTACCTACAACGAAGGCTCTCTCAGACCACCCCGCTCGGTGTTCTCTTGAATATCAAGGCTGCATATCAAGCAAATCCAATTATTCCCAGTTTGCTGTGTATTCCTTTTTTGCTTCTCCACTAACCCACATTATTTATAATCCCAGGTCCTATTTTTTAATTGCACGAACTTTATAAAAGGCAACGTCTTCAATAGCAGAGGAGGAAAAGACAGGGATATAAATGGCATGATAACTTTTGGAAGCCACGGATGAAGGGGATGAGAATAAAATATTTGTTTACCTTGAATCTGTTACCTGTTGCTTCCACCTGAAACTATGGATGCTTCCTTGTAGAGTTGGGGGAAAACAGGCCTATCTCTTCCTTGGGTTTCCTCCCTTCTTCTGGCCTACACCCTCCTCCCCTGATTGGGCTGCTGGAAAGAACAAATGCAAACGCCAACCGGACACAACGCCTGACTGGAAGACCTCAGCTGTCCATCCATCTCAGGTTACTTGTTTACGTATCGCTCCCCTGCCTCGAACCTTGTGTTTACCACCTTGTTTCCAAGGAGATCCGGGTTGCCGAGAAGGGCCTGGTGCAACCTGGCTGGGCTTGGATTCGTCCTTTCTGTGGCTGGAGATGCTCTTTCAGGCTCGGTCCCTCTGCTTTGGATGTGGCTTTCAGGAAGACTGCGGATCACAGTGTCTCAGGAAATACTTTAGAATTGTTTTTGCTGCAAGGGACAGGCTTTTTACATTTCTGTGTGGAGGAAGAAAAGGTAGTTCCCTTGAACCTGCTTTTGTGTGCACACACACACATGAAAAGAAAGAGGAGGGGAGAAAAAATGTGGGAAGTTAGATTTCAAGGGAAAAGATTTGAACCTACATATGCCCCTGAAATGCTAGTTTTCTGTGTGTGGTTTACTGGAAAGTATTCTAACCACTGCCATGGAAAGAAAGGTAACTTCTAAGCAAACAAAGATTTCTTTGTAATATTTAACGTAATCTGCTTCAGCATTATTTAGACAAATAGTATATTTGTACCAAATATAGGATTTTAGGTGCCTTTCAGTCAGAGAGCATATACTTTTAGGTGGAGCTAGATCAAGATTTAATTTACTAGTGACAAGAGCACAAATACTTTTTAGTTTTAAATTATAATAATTCCATGAATATTATTGATGTATTATTTGCTGTAATCTATATGCTCTTTCTTGTTTCTGAAATAACAAATGGAGAGACCAAATAAAAACAATTTAAAGTGATTTTTCTGTCTGCATTTTCCCCCGTAGGTTTGCAGATTTAGCTTCCTCCTGCAGAAAGAATGCAGTGAAACGTTTCCGCAGTATAAGGGAATTGCCACATCACCCAAGTTTCCAACGTGCAATCCAGAAGTGTCTGCAGGTTGTGGTTAAAAAAAAAAATCAAAACAGAAGACCTACTTGTTTTTTTATATCCATATATGCCTTATACACATGTGACACACATAAAAAGCAAGCAGAACTTTGATTGCACCACCATGGCTGTCATCTTGAATTCTTTTACCATGCGCTATGGATACCCCTGGTACAATCCTTCACAAAGCAGTTTGAAATCATCCCCAAATTAACTTATTTCTGCTGACCTCGAAATGTGGAAAACACCATCTTTCTTTGCAGATGGCCAATCTGAAAGGGCAAATATTGTCACATCGGTGTCCCACCCCCTGAGGTACCCTTATGGAGAACCCCCTGCCCACTTCTCGCTCCACATGAAGATAAATTGCTAGCAGCTACCCACCCCATAGATGTTTTTCTGTACATGTATTTGTGCACACTAGTCTAGTGGTTTCCAAAATATTGGGGGGGTGTGGGGTAGGTATGGCAAGGTTGATTATAAAAGAGCATCAATCAAATTACTGAAATCATTCAAGGCTTCCCAGCTGCCTTTCTGTCATTTCCTAGGTTGTATTTGAAAGTCTTTGTGAGTTGTGTATGTGAAATGGAAGCTGCCTGGCAATTTTGCAACCAGGTGAGTTTTGACCATGTCTGCATGTTCCTTTGGTGATTATTTTGGGAGTGGGGGATGAAACAATACTTATAGGAAGATGCACTGGAAGCTCCAGATCCTGAACCTTGGGGGGAAGGCTAAGACAAGCAGCCAGGTTAGGACCAGCTTTGTGTGTGTGTGTGTGGTTGGGGGGGTGGGTCAGAGGGGCCTTTTTAATTTTCATCTCTCTCTTTGTACTGTTTAGGTCTTTGTAGCATAAAACCTACTTTAAAACAATCTAAATGAAATTAAGTGTATCAGTTTTGCTCTTGTTACTACTTGCACCTCCCATGTAGACAGTTCTAGGTTTGATCCATAATATTTCCTGGTAAGGACAGAAATATGCTAGCCTGAAATGCAAGGGGCCTGCTTCCAATCAGTGTCAGAGTTCAGTGTTCAAATAGCTATTATAAGCCATCTCAGATTCAACTGATTAAAAGGAGGAATATAAACTTTCCAAGTTAAATAGTTATATAAAATACATAATTTTATTTAGGTCCTTTGTTCCCCTGTTAACTTTATTTATTTATCCAAATTATATGGCCGCCCATCTCAACAAATGACTCTGGGCAGTGAACAGAGTTAAAATGAAAACAATTATTTAATTATAATTCAATTTAAATTATAATTTAAAGTAATTATAAAATTCATAAGCATCCCTTACAATGAACACCCAGATCATTCAATTAATACCATTCAATTGAGATTAAATGAATTAAATCAATTACATTGTGTGCACAAATAAAACAATAGTTCTAATTAAAATATGTTCATCAGTATGCCTATATCAAGCAGATGCCATCCCAGGGTGAAAAGTAGAAGGTAGGAGAAGCAGTAATAAAAGTAGAATGCTCTTCTGGAATATTCCACACATATTTCCATATAAATAATTATAATTGCTTGTAATTCAACATAATAAATTAACATTTTAAACAATTAAAAGCCATATTAATTAGGAGCATTTTTTCCCTTTAAAATCTAGCAGTCAGTCAACCCTGGGATCATTGTGGGAATAAACTTAAAGATTTATTTCCAAGTAATTATGTACATTATTGTTTCAGCCTGGAAGTTGTAGTAAATCACACCCAAAGGCACCAGGTTGGAGAAAGTTCATGTAGATGAAACAACTGGATATGGGATGGGAGACAATAATTTCAGTGCCGTCATTATACGAAAGCTTCATAATTGATTCTTTCACCTAGTTCAGGCTCTAGTGTTTTAGTGTTTAACATTAATCCTGGCATTAAAACAAAAAACCTAGCTATGCAGAGGCAGCAGATTCAATTTAGAGGTGATTTCCAAATACAGAAAAAGGAATTGTACATTTATGTGAATATTCATGCCCATTCACCCTAGTATTAATCTAAAATGTATTCTTATTAATATACAAACAAAATATTGGAGAAAAATCCATTCAGGCAAACTTTATTCTAATTAGATTTAAATGTACATTAAAAAAGATCAGTACATAATTAATTTACAGGTTTGCAATTCTGAGTACCCAAATAAGATATACATATCTGCGCTAAAGTGATGAAGACAAAGGGAGTTCACTTTGTAATGCTCTCAAAGCCCATTTGTAACATGCACTTGTAAAGCATTTTATGAATTCATTCAAACTTTCCTTTGTCTTCCCAGAGAAAATAAATTATAGAAACAAAAACAAATGGAGTAAAAACCAGAATGGGCACATCACTTTTTAAATATACAGTTTAGGATCATTGATACAAAAACACAATGCACAGGCTTCAGTGTTTTTGATTGCATATTACATCATTCAAGGTACACAAACTTGCTCTCTTATTAGTGCAATAGAGTAGTATTTATCCCATTGGTAGTATAAATCACGTTTTCTTGATTTCTCTTGGCTTCTTTTGATCTATAGTCACGTCATGCATGAATACAAATAAAGATCCAGCATAGCTTCTATATTTACAATGGGTATAATTCTCACAGATTTTCTTAACACAGAGAATTTGTAGTATGACCAATAGCAGTTTATACATTACAGCAAAATGAGCACTTATTGGTAAAGTAAGAAATTAACACACTCAAAATTCATGTTGGTTAGAGAGAAGGGGTCATGATGTAGTTGCATTGTTTTCTGATTTATGAAGTATAGACAAAATTGGAGAAAGCAGTAACAGAGAAAAGAATGAAGGAGGAAAAGGGCCTTTAAAGAAAGTTTCGGTTGGACAGACATATTCTCTAAACACCTATTATTTTTTTTTCATTTTTAGAAGTAATCACAGAAGAAAAATTAGCACTGGAATTGCTAAATTCAGAACACAGTTTTAAACATAATTCTCCACTTTATTCCATAAATGCTTATTTTAATATTAAATAAACTTTATATCTCAAAGTATTAATAATGGGAAACATGAAAATCATGGCATCTTGTAATATATACAGTTGTAAACCAAGATTGCAATATGACATTCAGTTAGCTGTTCTTCACTAGTAGATCCTGTTTTCAAGCCATGTGAAAAAAGAAAAAAAATATTCCAACTGTTCCTTGACAATACCATTAGCAGCATAATTTTGTGCAAAGTAATATTATTGTGAAAATAATTCCTTTAGTAGTACTGCACATTTTGTAATGTTTTCCACAACCAAAAAACAATTTATCTAACACAGAGATGCATCCTATCCAATCCCCTTCTCATAGTTTCTAAAGCCACACACTGTATTAATGTTTTGAATTCTCTGCATTTAGTTCAGGGAACTCCTTAGGCATTTCACAGTTACATATCAAACACTGACAATTAGAGAAACATATGATAAAGTTCATTTTAATTCCAACTCATATACAGCATTACATTTTAATTTAATTTATACTACAGTAATCCACACATCCCTAGTTAGATATAAATAACAATTACTTACTGGCAGCAAATATATATCTCATTGTTCATGACTCCAAACCCCAATATTATTTACAAAGCAATTATTTCTGTTCCAACTTTACTATTAGGTATAAACAAAGAATTCAATGGCAAATACAAGTTTTTGCGGGAATGTAACTGCTAAAAAAGCCACATTTTCCAATTTGCGTTAAAAGAAGAAATCTAAGTTCTTTACACAACAAGCATGTGACCGTGACATTCTTACAAGTCAAAACACTAGTCAGCTTCACAAATATATAGAAATGTTTTAAATATTTTTGTTTTGGCATGAAGTTCCACAGCAGCGTGCAAGAGCAAGACACTGAACTCCTAATAATCAATGCATCAAGCAGTTTGAATAGCTGGGACTGGAAGGCTTTGCATGCTTTTCCATAAGCAGCCTGACTTCATTTTGAAAGTGATTCCAGATATAAACATGTTTGTTTCCCAAAAAGAATTCCGACAAGAAAAAAGTACTATTTTATGCCAAATCTCCGTCACTTGAGCTGTCAATCACCTGAGAATATCCCATGGCAGGTCCATGTCCAAACTTGTCAGAAAACTATCTGTGAATTTCCAGCTCACCCCCCGAAGCAAAAGAGCACCTCGTCTGTAACTGTGCATTTGAGCCAGTAACTTCTGAATCAAAACTGAATAACCTTTCAGAAGTCTCACTGTAGGTTATTAATTTCCTAGTAACAAAATTTTTATTTATCAAAAGGAATAAGGCATTCAGAATATCAGAACTTTTTCTGGGGATCAAAAAACTTTCTGAAGAAATTTGATAACTCCAAAGTAGCTTTTCTTAATAGACATGGGAAGCCTAGATCAATTTATGGCATCAAGATAATTTCTAAATTCTAAAGTTAATGTTAAACTGGTGTTGATGAAACTGTTTGTAAATTCCTTTGCTAGTACATTCCACTTAATTCCATAACCACATATTCAGTATGTCGTAGCACTGAATGTAATTTCGGCATTCATGAAAATAATATCCCAAGTCAGGGTGAACAGAAGATGGTGTGTTTTTAATAGCCATTCACTTTCAAGATACACATTGCATAAAATGACGCTTCATTGAAGCTACTGTGAATCACATTTAACCTTTCTCCCCCCAAAATGAATGCTGGGTTTAAGTGTTATAAAATACATGGATCAACCATTACCACGTTTATTTGCTTCCATCTCTTCCTTGTAACTTTGTCATGCTGCACCTGAACTTGGACACTGTGAGGAAATGCCCAATAAATTATCCCACATTATTTATCCAGTTGTTACAAACAAGAACGCAAAAACTTCTCTCTGTGCCCAGAAAAATTCTGCCAGGCACTGTAGCTTTACATCTGCACTTTTCTGGGATGTTTAAAAGCTATCCAAATCAATAAAACCTAAAGACCTCTCTGTTGTGCAGCATTACTATTCAGTAATCAAAATATTCACATACCTTGCTTTTCTAAAATGTATAAAAACGTTGTAACATGTCGAACAAAGCCCCCTCCTGTATGAAACACAGTACAGTGATAGGACAGATGTTTACATCCTCCTGACAATCAGCAGTCATATCTAATCACCAGATTTGGCTTCAAGAAAACAAACAATGACAAATGCATATTTTTCTTAAAAGCTTCTGACATTATGTGGCTCCAATAATACTGTACACTTTTCCATATAGCATTCAGAAATACCTATGAAAATTGTTTTGATAAATTTTGTTTGCCAGGCAACATTTCTTGGTCTCTATTTGAAAAGGTAAGGATTTTTTTCCCCCCTGTAGTGAAAAAACTGTTCTAGCAGCAAAAATGCAGGCTTGATTAAAACATGGATTTCCTATGTAAGGCAATGTAGCTGGATGTCATCTTTATTTTTTATTTTCATACTAGAATAGTTCATTTTTTCAAAAGACAAAATCCAGACTACAAGAACTATTAAATTACTTTTAAAGCAATGGACTTTTGGACAGAGAAAATTGGAACTTTGCAATTCAGAATGGCAAAAATATAATTCAGCTGAATAATTTTCACTAGCAGCTTTTATCAATAAATGTTAAAAGATGTTTCTGTGATGAGTTTTTCCCTTATAGCCAACCATGTGCTAGTATATGATTTTAAATATAGTGCTTTCAAACTGTTAAGATTCTATTAAGGTTTTGTTATCAATGCTATTATGCGTGCAAATGTCATTAATATATAGATAATGAAAATGCAAATTGTTTTCAATTCAGTGACTGTTAGGCAGGCACTGAAGAAAAGCTATTTTGTACAGATTTGTAAAATCTCTTCAGGTCTTCAAGAACTTGAGCTGAGCGCTCAAACCTGTCCAAATGGCCTTTTCTGAATCATACCAAAGTTGGAATAGAAGGTAATCATAAAGTTTGCATCAAATAGGACTAAGCTAATGAAGTACATTTCGGAAGACCCAATTGTATTAATCCTTAGAAAGTTTTCCCCCCATCACCCAAAAAGAAAACTTAACTTCCAATACATGCAAATGACATCTTTATTTGGGCCCAACATTTGTTGTTTTAAAATGGCATCTGCATTAACTTTACCTTGATCCAACTCTAAAAGTCAAAACCATACTTCTTTATGTATCAACAGCTTCTAAAACATGTCTGGAATTAGGAGAGGCTTTTGACTTTTTTTCCTACAATACTAGGTTTCCAGTTCATAACAGAAGACGAGGCCTCTTCATTCAGAGATAAGACCAACCCAAATGTCAAGCACGCGGCTTATCTCCCGGCTGCCTAGCATCCCATTCTGTTTTGTGCCCCTTCTCTTCTTATTTAAATCTCTTCTCTCCAGAAGAGTTTGAAGGAGTGAGGGGAAAGGTGGGAAAGGCACCGCTGCTGGGGTTATCCCCATTTTAGAAACCAATGCTCTAGCCCATCTTGAATTGGGCAACTAATTCTACAAAGTGCATTTTGAAGAAGAAAGAAGTTCCTTATTTCTCACATTTCATTTTCTTTCCTGTGAACTGAAGCTGATTCGATTGCAGAATGAGATCCTGAAAGGGCATTCTCCAGAGTGAGATCCGAGCATTCTGGGGCTTTAGACATCATCAAATATTCTACTTCGAGACATTGACAAGTATCTCCCACCAGACTGGTACCTGCAGAATATAAAAAGACTTTAAATGTAGAACTTACATGGCACTGTTTTTGAGTAGTAGACATTGTACAAGGAGAGCCATGTTAGCTGGGGTAGCCAAAAATCAGAAGGAGCCCGGTAGCACCTTTTCAGACTAACAAATATTACTAAAAGGTAGAAGCTTTTGTGAACTACAGCTCATTTCTTCACATGAATGGAGATGCATGGAGTGATACTTTGAGTTGTGTAAATCTTTAAAGACAAAATGACAAAAGACCAGATAATAATGATACATCTGCAATATTCAAACTTCTAATTTTTCCATATAAAATATGGGATGTCTAAGGTTACATTCAGTGTAAGAACTCTGTGCCAAGAAATTATTATTATATTGTTTACACAACTGACAATGCACATATATATTATAAGCAGCTAATAATATCCGATACTAGTAATGGAAACAACTGTCTTTCAATGCCATGAATACTCATGCACTCGAAATTTAGTGTGCAATTGTTCTGGGATATTAAGATCAAGCTTCTGTAATTAATTCTTTCCTGGACCAGATACTGGAAACCTGTAATGAGATCTCCTGCTTTGGTTTATGTTTTTCTAATAGACAAATGCAGCTATGATCTCCTTAATTTGCATTAGAGCCTCAGCAAAATGGCTCTGGTTTCACAGAGTTATAGGGTTGGACAAGGATCCACACCTTCTTCTCCATGACAGCCCTTCAAGGATCAGAAATCTGCTATTAAAGTTTCTTCTGAAGCTTCTTCCCAAGTGCTGGCAACCAAAGCTCAGATACTCTTGCTTAGGACAAAGAGTCAGTTTTCGCAGGAGAGGACCATGGAATTCTTTACCTCCACGGCCTTTCAAAAATACGTTTCCACATATTCATGGGACTGACCATAGGGCTGCGAATCAAGGTAGATAGGAGTTGTGAACAAAAATAATTCTTAAGCCCTCAGAACCCAGTTTTTTTTATTATCATTATCATTATTATTATTACACATCCATATGAAATCACAGCTGCCAGTTCTTGTGTTGGCCTTCATTCACCTAATGTTTTTCCCAAGAACCTAGGATGTCGTAATGTATTGGCATAGTATATGTGCAGATCCACAAAAGCAGCGTGGCCTTTTGTAATTGACAGATGGAAATTTTATCAATGTGCAGATTTTCTAAGTGTCATCCAAGGCTTTTTGGTATGGCACCCAGTGTGCTGATAACACTGGGACCACCACTGCCGGTTTATGCCATAATCTTTCAACTTTGATTTTCAGATCTTGATACTTGTGATCTTTTCCAATTCTTTGTCTTCTAGTCTATTATCCCCTGGTATTGCCACATCATTTATCCATTTTCTTCTTTTCAACCACAGTTAAATCTGGTGTGTTATGTGACAAGACTTT